CGTGTGTGTGTGTTTCAGTTTGGGGGTACTTGTTGCATACGCTGCCAACCATAATATTGGCATGCAGATCAAGAGCACTCGCCGATTGATAAATACCAACATGAGAGACCTGAAGACTTTCGCTAACAACACACCTGCGGTATGTACACACACACACACACACGTTCATGTTCTTCTTCTTCATTTGGTTTATTGGCAGGTGGCAACCAACGTCAAGTTGCATCACCACCATCACATTCATGTGTGAATTTCTAATATTGCGCCGATTGAATGTGTGTTTTTCTGTTGCAGCAAATAGATTACCTGACAGCTCAGTACACCACAGCAAAGAACAAAGTCCTGTCCGACCTCGACAGTAAGTTGAACTCAGACTGTTTACTCACAGTATTTGTCTCATGTCCCTCTCGTACTCTGCTTTGCGTTTTTGTGGCTGTTCATCTGTTCCTGCTGTCATGAATTATTTTTACGTGTCCGTGTTTCCTGTCAGACATCGGGCCGTTGTTGGGCGGGAGGATCCACAGTCAGCTGGAGAAAGAGGTGGTCCCGTCACTGGACAATGCCCTGCGAATGGCCGGAGGTAACACGGCCTCTTTTTCAGCCTTTAGTGTGACCTCTTGTTGAGCTCACACACCTGAGACATAGTATCACAAAGCAATATGGAGGTCCACAAGCTAAAGTCTTTTAGGGACATATTCTCACCGTTTTGTGGGTTGTTTTCTCCTCTTTTGATCCACTCATATTTTCTTTTTATCCAAAGCAAAAGTCGAGGGTGCCATTAAAGGTAATCAGAGCTGAGGTGGAATCTGTGGTGCAGTGCTTGTGACTTTGTATTAGAAACAGATGCTGATCCTGAACTACTCCTCTTTGTCATGGTTTTCTTCTGTGGATTGTTGATGTGTGTAATCAGTGTTATTGTAATAATTCTTATAGTTCTGTCCTGTGGTTTGTTTACATATGCAAAACAACATCCCTTTTTTTTCAGCCAAAGTGTTTTCAGTTCCATTCTTCGTCTATTGTTTGCAGCCATGCGGGAAACCAAAGAGGCCCTGGAGAACATCAGCTCCTCCCTGGAGGTGCTTCAGGAGGGGACGGGGAAACTTCAGGCCAGTCTGTCGGGGGAGCGGGCCTCTTTGTCCAACACCCTGTCCGACCCCGCCTGCACCAACGGAGCCGTCTCTCACACCTGCAACACCATCCGGTCCACGCTGTCCCAGCTGGGAGTCAACGCAAACTACTTAAGGGTACCAATGGCCACGAGATTAGAAATCAGAATCCCACAGAAATATAGTGGAATAAGCGTAAATTTAATTTGCTGCAATGACTTCAGAGTTTGTCATCTTCTTCTTTTTTCATTCTGCTGTTCAGCTCCCAGATGTCAATCACGCTTTGACCAATGTCCAAACCGTCCTGAGAACAGATCTCAGCAACATTGTACAAAAGGTCAGTCTCTGTCCTCGTGGTCACACAGTTGGCACCTGGCATCAGAATGCAATCTGTATCTGGTGTATCAGTGTGTTTTTAAATGATCTTTTCTCTTCCAGGGTTACTCATCCTTTAACGACACTCCGAGTCTGGTTAAAGAGCAAACTAAAAATATCGTCTCAGGTACAGAAGTGTATAAAATTATATATATGTGTGTTTAGTTTGTGTAAAAACAAACATTAAGCTGCTTTCTGCTTTTCATTTTATACACTTTCACTATTCACTTTTATATTCTGTCTTTCTCTCACCTTCACCTGCAAACTGGTGGATAATGAAACCATAGCTCTTCCTCGTAAGTTCTCTTTTCTGCCTTTCTACTTTCCGTTTCTCTACTTTTAGGGGACACGGCGTCTAGTTGAACAAAACTCTCTCTGACTTTTCTGTTGGTCTTTTTTGTTTGTATGTGCACAGGAGTGAAAGGCATGCTGGATAAGATCGGCACAGAGATCAACACCTTCGCCAAGATGTTCCCAGTGGAAGCGTCTCTGGCCAATTTCACCATTTTCCTCACTGAAGGGCAGAAGAACATTGAGTCCTTTTACCCGCAGATCGACCAGTTTGAGTTCTACAGGTGTGTGCAAATGTGTTCACATGAATCAGAATTTGGCTCCTGCAACATTCACTACGTTATTATTACTAAACTATTATTTGTAAAGTAGCTTATATCAATATTTTAAAGTTAACAGTATATAAAATAACAATGTAAGAAATAAAACTTTTAACCCTGTCACTAGAAACCTGACTCCAAATGAATCATGATGTTTCTGTGTGCCAGGTGGATGTGTCGATAAGAATGTTTGCTCACTGCTGCCTCCAAGTGGCAAAGAAATCTTTTTTTTAGGTTTAAGGTTAGAACTATAATGAGGTTGTGATTAGGATAAGATTAGTGTCTTCACAAATGACGTGTGTGTGTGTGTGTGTGTCTGCGTGTGTTTGTGCGCACGTGTGTGTGTGTGTGTGCTGCAGGTGGATTGGCTGTGTGGCAGCACTGTGCCTGGTCGTCTTGATCTTGGCCTTCAACATCCTCGGACTGCTCTGTGGTACCTGCGGCTACGATAAGCAAGCCACACCCACAACCAGAGGATGCCTATCAAACACTGGCGGCAACCTGCTAATGGCGTACGTTATTTTTCCATGAGATACACACACAGTGTTTCCTGACTATAATAAGTCAGCATGTCTGCTTAGAGAAAAGTTTGTTAGTGTGTCATTAAAACAGATTACGGGGGAAATAGGAGACAGTGACACAGATTGAGTCAGAGTTTATTGTCTATTTAAAAGATGATGATGAACATTTGTATCTCTGTAACCATGCACTAAAATAACATCTGTAGATTCTATACATTATTCAATATCACCTGAGTTGCAATGAATAGCACAAATTAAGTTCTGTTGTATACATGTAACACAATTTACCTTCTGTTTTTGTTTTGTCACTGTTGAATCACACTTGTCCAGTAAAAATGTTGCTCAGCACCAGTTACAGGAAAGTTAACTTTACTATGGAGCTTAAATATCAGTTAGTAGACCTGAAAGAAAATCCCAAAACAACGGGAGAAAAATGAAAGAAACAGAGAAACTAATGAACTAAACTAATGTTTGCTGAATGTGTCTCCTGCTCTCTTCGTCTCCTGCTCTCTCAGTGGGGTGGGCTTCTCTTTTATCTTTTCCTGGTTGCTGATGGGCACCGTGACAACGTTGTTTGTTGTTGGCGGCAACGTGGAGAAGCTGATCTGTGAACCGCTGGCAAACCGACAACTATTCCAGGTACTAATTATGAACACTTGCATCCCGATTAGTCTCATTTTGACTCTCGGAGACTCTGTGGAGCAGTATTACATAACAGACAACACTGTGGCTCTTTGTGTGTGTGTGTGTGTGTGTGGGGGTGTAGATTATAGACACACCATACCTGGTTCATCCTGCCAAGAGGAACTTCCTTCCTGGGATGCTGTTTCAGAATCCAAACATTGACTTGACTTTGGGAAGCATGTACAGGTAACATGCCAACACTTCATACATGCATACTGTGCCATAGCGCTTTTAGAATTAGCTGACTGGTTCAAATTGATTTTTAGATTTATGTTAGGACATATGAACACACTGAGGTTTTAAAAGCGTCACCCTGCTGTATTTGTCTTGCAGGGAGTGCTATGACAACAATGGTCTGTACCACGCTCTGCAGCTGGAGACCATGTTCAACATCAACACCTTCCTCAACAGAACTGTGGTAAGTGAGCGGCTTAAAGAAAATTACATAAAGCTGGAATGGCACTCGTTCCAGCTCAAACATCCTCCGATGGGCTGAAGGTGTTGAGTTTGTGTTTGTCTTGTCAACACAGTACAACAAGGATCTGGCCAAAGTGTTTGAGAATGTACAAGTGGACCTGCAGGACATCACCCTGCTGGAGCAGGCCGGCAGAGACAACCTCATCAACTTCGCTAACTCTGGAATCGGACAGATTGAGTATGAGACGTACCTGGCTGAGGTAACCTGCTCTGATCCAGACTGAATTCAAAGTGACATTTTTAAAAACAGAAAGTTGTTCACCATAAAGATATTAATCTGGTGAATCTGGTGTCTGATTGTAGTTAAACAAAGGGGTTACTCTTGTGGATCTCCTGTCCTTCGCTACTGACCTGGAGGCTCAGGCTGATCAACTGGTGAGTGTCATCATCACTGTGCCAGCAAGTTCCAACACCAGCGTCACAGCCACCAAAATCACATGCGTCGTCATTTTTATAGCATCAAATAACTGAACTAAATGTACCAGTAAGACAAACATCTCGTGTACATTGACTTTTTAGTTCCGTCCATGTCCCATCCACCACTAGGGGGCGATCCAGATGATTTGGCTCCACTTTATGGTGATAGCAGTACTAGTCCATCATTATATACAGTCTATGGTGATAATCAGAATCAGAATACCTTTATTGTCCCACAAACGGGGACATTTCTTTGTCACAGCAGCAACAGGACAGTAGAGTTTTTTAAAAACAATAACAATAGTGAAAAATCAACAAGATCATTTAAAGGTAAGAAAATATTCAGTGTGCAATGAATTGTGTGCAATGAATTTACAAAAAGACAATGTGGCAGTGTATTTACTAGTGATAATAAATAATAAATATGGGTATTTATAAAAATTGTATGCAGATGTATGCTACTGGGAGCAGTGATTGTAAAGTCTGACAGCAGCAGGAAGGAAGGACCTTCGATACCTCACCTTCACACCCAGTGCTGCAGCTAACCAGCAAGTCACAGCCACTCAGTGCTGCACAAACGTTACAGATCAATTTGTCTGAAAGTTTTAAAATCAGATGAGACTGCATGGGTTTTTCTAATACCTCTTACACCAAAAATAATAGGTACACAATTTTTTTATACGCTAAAAAAAAGACAATTGCCTCTGGAAACCAACACTTTGGAAACCTCTGTATCTGGCCAGTGTTGCATCTTGCACGCTATAAAGAAAAAAGCGCGGTTGCACATTGTTCTAAAGATGTAGAAAACAACAAGTACACAAACGTTCGTGTTTACACACCGACATCTGGAAGTTCAATGCATGCTGTAACATTGCAACAGAAAAGATGCAGCAAGCATCTAAAGCCAGATGTTATTGGATGTTAGTAAAATGAAACTCTACCTTGAACAGTCGTATTTTGTTGAAGGTAACAAAGGTAACAAAGGTAACAAAGGTAAGAATTGATTCTAAGATTCTTTAGCTTCAGGGTGTAATTACTTGTAAAATCCCGACAGATGTGTTGAAGACTGTCAGAAACCAAATGTGCAGCCAGAAAGATTTCCCTTCATGCTCACTGATCCGGCCGAACAAGCCGCCCATTCACTCCGTACACGCTCACGTTTATACCATATATATTCATGCTATAGGGCCTGTGGCACATGGGACGTGGCACAGAGGGATTAGTGTGCTCCTGTGTATGTTAGGAAGGGAAGAATAATTACTCACTCAGTTACCTTTCATTACCTGATGGAGCTGAAGATTGCATTGTACGTTTGTGTAGGAACAGCTGCCATCAAGTCAAGTATCATGAAACTCTTTATGTTTGTTTGTTTGTTTGTTTGTTTACAGCCACGTGGCGCTCTGGAGAACGCACTGAGAGGACACGCCAGCAGTATCAGACAGATTCACAGAGAACTGGTGGTGCCCATGGAGCAAGCAATGGTGATCATCTCTCCCACACACACACACAAACAATAACTCCACCACACATATATGAACAGATCTGCTCCCACCTCCAGTCAATGAGTTCTGGATTTCAAACTTCCACTGCACCGTGAGACATTTATTTATTTGTTTGTTCAAATGGACGAATCTTTATTTGTTCGCCACATAATCAGGATTACAGATCAGTGAATATTTTACATCACTAAAGATTCTACAGTTGTTTTCTATGTCTTTGCTCTTCCCCTCAATGTCCGTTGTTTTTTCTTCTTCCTCCTTTCTTTCACAACATGATGACAGAAATATGTCAGAGCGCGGGTAAGCCGCCGTTGATGCACGGCACGTTATCGGCGTATCAGTGTTTGCCGTAGCAACGTGGTTCGTGTTGTGTCAGTGTTGTGAATTTGAACTTGCAGACATTTGAACATACAGTGCATCTGTTTTGTTTGTTAACAGTTTCTGTGTTTATGTTCTCACGCAGAGCACGCTGAGCCAGAGCATCAAACTGCTGCAGAGGACGTCCAACGACCTGCCGGTGAGACAACTCACACAGACAGAAACGATGTGGTTTATTTATAGCATTAAATAAATTAATTAAATCGAATTAAACACACGAACACACAAACAAATGATTTGTCTCTCAGGTGAAGGTCAACAACATCCTGAGTGCCATTGATGCAGCAGAGTACCTCATCACTCATAACGCCTCCCATGTGGTGAAGCAGGTCTGAGATTCCATGATTAAATGCTGTGTCAGCTTTATAAAACCAGAAAACCAGTGTTAAAAGTGTTTGTTCTCTTTTAAATGGAGTGTATATTGACCCTGTGATACTTTAAACCAGTCCTTTAACACTAATCGTCCTGTAGTCCCACATGTCCTAACTTTTTTCTCTGTTGTCTTACAGGAAACTAACGGCTACATGCAGAGCTTAGTGGGATACTTCAAGCAGTACACAGAATGGGTCAAAAGCTCTGTGAGTATTCTCCCTGTTGTCACCTTCAATTTTACTTGATGGTCAGTAATGAGGAAAAATCAAGAGATCAGGCAGCAGGAAGTGAAATGTTCATACTAAACAAGTTCTGATCATACGATTGTTTTCACATGATGTGTGTGTGTGTGTGTGTTTGATCATGTGTGTGTTTCCTTACAGTTAACTGCAGAGGTGGCTCAGTGTAAACCCATCAGTAACATCGTTGACACCATGGAGATTGTTGGGTGCAGCTTCATAGTGGATTCAGTGGTAAGACACTGGAACACTGTGGTTATCTCTGTGTGTGTGTGTGTGTGTGTGTGTGTGTGTGTGTGTGTGTGTGTGTGTGTGTGTGTGTNTGTGTGTGTGTGTGTGTGTGTGTGTGTGTGTGGGAGACTTTTGGAAGGAGCTCTGGGTTTTTCGACCACACGTATGAGTACAGTATGTTCTCCAGCCTCCGACACACTCGCTCACACCCGGTGGATTGGACAGAGTGTGTTTTGAGGCAGGGTGGCGACTTACATGCACATAGATCCTTCAATGTTTTCACCTGTGGCCCAGAGGAGCGGGGATATTTATGCATCGCCTATATATCATACTCTAAGGGTTTGTGGGATTCTAATAAGAGCTCAGAGACGCCACTGACTGTGAGAAATACAAACCGAGAATTTATATATCAGTGCTCCAGCAGCGGCTGCACATGTGCACGTGCTGCATGTGTTTGTGTTTATGTTCTGCTCGGTATTTGCACATCTCGTGTCTTTGAGTGAAATGGAGCAGAGATAATCTGTAGGGCTGCAAAAATCACCGATATGAGTTTAATTTAATCTAAAACTCAAATGATTTGTCATTTATTCATTTTGCAAAGATTTGGGAAAATCTAAATTTGCTGGATCTAGCTTGTGGATCAGCACGATTTCTTTGCCATGTATAATATTGAACTATAGATCTATTATGTAAAATAACATGTGAAAAACTTGTGTGCACACTTTTGCAGATGTAGTTTAGTTAAATGATCTTCAGATTGCAGGAATACTGATGAGTTATTTCAGAAGCAGTGATTTCTGGGAGAGGAACTTCCTTTACCACAGACTTTGGACTTTTACATTCACAAAAAAAACGTATTTATAACACTAGAGGAACGAAAAACTGAAAAGGCATCATGGTTCCTTTAAGATTTATTATTATTAAATCTAAATATCTGTTTTGAAGAGGTTAGTTCATTTCCATGGTCAACTTGATGAAAATGTGAAATCTTACAGGTAAATTTGTTTTTCAGAACACGTTCTGGTTTGGTCTGGGAGGCGCCTGCATCTTCATGATCCCCAGTATCATCTTCTCCATCAAACTGTCCAAATATTACAGAAGGATGGACACAGAGGACGTCTTTGAAGAGTGAGTCCGGACAACACACATGCTCTTTAGTTAATACAGCAAAAGACGGATCATTCCTTAGTTTTACTGCTAGCTTCTCAAATCTTCCCCGTTGTCGATCTAAACAAAATTAATGGATCCTTCTCTTCTCTCTGTCCTTTTTCATTTTTTTCAATTTCATTGTCTTTGATTCTCCTCATATTCTTTCGTCGATTCACTTCCTCACCTCTTCTCCAGTTCCTCTTACCCGTGGCTTGTTGCACTTTGATGTTTTTCTGTTCTCTGTGCGTCCTCTCGTCTTTGTCCACGTGCCCTCTCATTTTTTTTGGGGTATGGAAAACTTCAGTTTTGGATCTCTTCTCACTCTTTTCATCTAAAATCACGAGCACGATCTGGTGTCTCTTTGCATGGATTCTTGGTTCCTCGCCATCCCTCACACTCTCCCACTTTCGACTTCTTATTTTCCTTCAAGAGTGACGCTCTGTGAGGATCCCGCCTTCCTTGTTGCTTTCACCAGTCTTCCCATTCTCTTTCTCACCTGTCCTCCCCCTGCTCTTGTGTTGCAGTATGGGTAATACAGGTAATCATGGTGACCAAGTGTGTGATATCCATGGAAACCTCTCTTTGGTCAGGTACGAGTTGTGCCCACCAATTTTTCCTGCTAGCATGCTGCGGTGTTAATCGGTGGAGGGATATTTTTCGCTGCAGACAGAAGTAAATGTGCTACATGAGATGTTTCCACAAATGTTAAATTCCCCATGTGTGTGTATGTATGTGCTTGAATATGTGTGTGTGTGTGTGTGTGTGTGTGTGTGTGTACATGTAGCTCCCCCTATAACGACACTCTGTTCCCTCGGGCCTCTGCTCCCCCGAGCTACTCCGACTGGTGACCCCCCCTCAGGAACGTTCTCCCTTTTGAAAGAGGTATTGGTTGTTGATTATTAGTTACATGTATTCATCCACTAATCCACCTCGAACTGAAGTCTTCATCTAACAACCTCCAGCCATTCAACCACCATCGGTCAGATGTGACTGACGCTTCACCGTCTTACTGTTTCTTTCATATCAACTGTTTCATCCATTCGTCTTCTTCTACCTTCGTCCATCACCACGGTTTCTTTCAAATGCTTAAACTGCGATTAGCTCAAGGCCCCATGTCGGACACTGTCTGTGAGGATAGTCACATGCTCGTCTTTGGATTGGTCGGCTTGTCATATTATGCACCAGACATCAAAGCAATGCAAAGCTATGTTGAAAAACCCACTAACCAATACATTCAACTCTGATTCTAACTTTTCTAGAAGACTCTAGTCATCCAGGCAAATGAAGCTGTTCTTAAATGTTGTTTCCTTTTTTTTCCTGCAGTGGACAAGAGAGCTGGAACTGAGCTTCCCCTTGTGGTAAGTTTTCTCTTGTTTATCTCACTGACTTTATATAAAGATGGATGAAGCTTCTCCACTTCCTCCCACTGTTCAGAACTGATATAGATAGATAGATAGACAGACAGACAGACAGATAGATAGATAGATAGATAGATAGACAGACAGATAGATAGATAGATAGACAGACAGACAGACAGATAGATAGCTAGACAGACAGACAGACAGACATACAGACAGACAGACAGACAGACAGATAGATATTCTTTATTGTCTGACCCATTAGTGACAGAAATTTTTCTTCGTCAGAACAATTATGAAAGATACATACATGAAAACAGGTCGGGGTTCTGTGTCTATATCATCAAAATGACAGAAACCGTCTTTGTGAAAATAGTATTTGACTTAGTTTGGTTCATGTCCCATCTTCTAACACACTAATACTGCAGCCCGCCACCAGGGGGGTGATCGAGACGCTTTGGCTTCACTGTCCATCTTTATATACAGTCGACGGTTTACCTCATCATCACTCATCATACGACACATCGCAACTTATTCTTAACGTGGACTCGCTCTCTCTTTTTTGTAGGATCACCAGAATTCCCAGCTTTTCTTTGATCATGCAACACGTCCAGTGACAAGAGGGAAGAATAAGAACAATCAAAGAACTGTGTGGTGAGGACGTCCCACCCCCCCTTTAACCCTTCAAGCCGTTTGACGAGGACCTCTAACACCAGCCAACTGTAACTTATCTCATGCACACCAGCGTCAGTCACAACCTGCATAGTTAGTTTGACACATAGAGAATGAATTTGTTCATACATTGTCAGTTTTAACTTGATGACACATGTACATTTTTTACACTTTCAAAACATTTGAAAGTTTTATATATTTTTGGTAATGTATGTTTTTTAAAATGTAAGTAGCTTTTTTTGTAGAATTAGCTCTGTTTTCTTTTTCTTTTCTTTGCTTTGTGAATGTTTGTAACGTAGCTTGCATTGTTTCAGCTCTACAGGTTTGCACTGACCAGATACATTTTCATTTTACATTGTTTATCCAAAAATTATCAATATATCTTAGTCTGGACCAAAGTGGTGAGCTAACAGGCTAACGTAACAGTTAATGTGACCAAAGCATCAATTTGTGGTGGTACAGGGTTGGTTTTTTTACGTATTAAGAAACGAGGGAAAGTGTTTTTGCTGATTTTGTTACTACGTTCGCTGGGCCCAGGTCAACTCTTTACGCTCAGCTAACTCTTGGCATTGAAGCGACAAAAGTAATTTCTACGGTGGCTGACAGACACACTGCAAATAGAAAAAAAAACATGTGCAAATGAACTACTCGTCAGTGTTGATGGAACTTCACAAAGCATCGAACCACAGCCGGGTTCATCACTTTTTTGTGTCTCCTGGAAACATTTCTGGCGACATTTTGTGTTGTGCTCTCGGCCACCGTATATTTCCCTTTAAACACTGTTCAAGGAAACTGGCTTTATTTTTCAGTCTTTGAGAAAAGACTTAATCCTGGTCCATGCTACTGCAAGAGGCGACACGTTACAAGCTACTCAACACACACAATGCAGCCGGAGTTTATGGCGAGGGTGCATATCTGTGATTAAAAACTTCTGTCCAATAAGCGTCTGATTTGTTTTCCTTCAATGAACCATTATTCACGAGCAACCATTGTCTCGACTCGCACTCTAAAGCAAAAAATACACACACACACACATTTCATGTGTCAACGGCTCATAAATCACACAACCTATTGAAACTTTGCATAAGCTCCGAGCCACAGGTTTGAATGAAAAAGGAGCTCATCTGCCAAGAAACACAGAACACGCGGGAACATTCATGTAACATATGCAGGGCTGAATACACACACACACACACACACAGCAGCCAAAAAGCTTCAGGTCTGTAATGGGGGGGGTTTCAGGGAGCGGCGGGGGCCTTGGCAGTGCCTGAGGTGGCGTGACGCTGTTGCATCCTATCACACTACAGTAACTTACTTTAAGAGAACATCTGTTCCTTACAACATAAACACACACTCTTCACATGTTTGCTTCCCCGTGTCTCTTACAGGGGAACTTTTTCTCCTTCCCACCAGATTGATGGCTGTAAAAATAAAAAAAAATGCACCAGGGGCATGTGTGCATTTGTACACATGTGTATGTGTGACCCTTAATGCAGCAGAACACGATACTGTACACGCACTTTCTTTTTCCGGTGTGTGTCCACAACAGCTGCTTCATGTATGGAATATTTAAGTCTGTTTAAAGGCAGTGTCTGTTTTTGTGGTCAGTATTAAAACTCACTGTATCGTGCTGTTGAGTCTTGAAGTTGCCATATGAAATGACCACTGGCGTGTGCACCGGTTTACACATTCATGCGAAATGAAGACTGAAACTAACTGTCCAGAAATGAAGCAGAAATGTTAAAATCGAAAATGACTTCGACAGGGTCCTCTCATTTTTATCGCATTAAATAACTAATTAAAACCAAACTTACAAGACAAAATATTTGAAGTGTATTTCGGCTTTTTAGTTCGGCCGGTGTCCCATCTGCTAACATGAAGGAGGCAGGGTCTATGACCTATACTGCAGCCAGTCACCAGGGGGCAAATGAGAAGCTTTGGCTTCACTTTTGGGGAGCTGTCATTTCTCCAATCCTAATATTCAGCCCATGGTTTCATCTGAAGACAAACCTAACTTCATAGATAACATACAGCTGATTATTCGAGGGACTATTTCTTCTCCAGGACAATTTCACCACAGCGTTGATGCATTTTCAGTTCTTTAACATGTCTTCAATTGTTTTCACCTGGTGGGAGATATTGTTGGTGTCAGAATCCCCCGACTTATGGAA